TTGGTAAACGAGACAGTCGGCATAAAAGTAAACAGAAGTTTAATTAAAACCATTTGGCATGCCGACGATACAGTCATAATAGCCGACAACTTGGAAGACTTACAAATAAGAATAAACAAAATATTAAGGTATAGTGGAGAATACATACTCTCTCTTACCATAAAAAACCAAATTCATGAAAATTAGCAAGAACAACAATACAAATGAAATACTAACTGTAGGCGGTTAGCAGATTGAGAGGGCAAAAAGATATACTTACTTGGGAACAATAATCACAGAAAATAGGGATTAAACTGCAGAGATAAAAGTCAGAATTGAAAAATCACATGCCAACTTTGTGAACATGAAAAAGATTTTATGAAGCAAAGATCTGGCATTGACCCTCAGAATAAGGCTAATTAAATGCTATGTACACAGTGTAGTCTACTATCGAGCTGAATAATGGACATTAAACCGGAATACAATAAATCGACTTAACGTTTTTGAAATGTGGATATTTAGAAGATTGTTAAGGATTTCATGGGTAGATAGAATCACGAATGCAAAAGTGTTAAGGAGAATATGCAGAGAGAGGGAAATGGAAAATAGAATAAAAGAAAGAAAATTGCCATATCTCGGACATTTAATGAGAGGCGAAAAATTCTACATCTTGAAACTCATAATTCAAGGAAAAATAGAGGGTAGGAGAAGCGTAGGAAAAAGACGCGTTTCCTGGTTGAAGAACCTGAGAGAGTGGTTTGGTTGCAGCTCAAGGCAATTGTTCAGGGCAGCTGCCTTGAAGGCTTGAAGTCCTTTACCGATTCCAAAATTTAGTAACCTAATGAGTCTTATGCGGTTTTTCAGTCCAATAGCAGTGACATTTTTCGAGAACCTGACTCCTCTTTAACAGGAAGTTTATATGTTAATACATAAATAAACATTAAAAAATACAATATTTTCTTTTTTAGTTCAAAAATAAAAATGGCTGGTTTTTGTCTGTTTTAAGTGACATTGCTGCTTTTGTTCCTGCAAAACCGTGAGTGGTGTAGATTTTTTTTGCAATAAAGCCGACTTTAGTTCTTGCAAACTAAAAAAACTGTAGTTATAATACTTTATAATAATATTAACTTCTGTTTTATGTAAACTTCTGTCTATAATCCGTTTTTGAAATAAAAATAATTGGTTTTGATCAATAAAATTCAATTGACTCAGTTGTGAAAAGAAATGAAATATCGGGTTTTTCCCTGTACCCTTCATATGATATATTTTTAATATTAAATAGTAAATATTCATATTACATTTATTTTTTAACATGTGTTTAGTGCATACAATATTAAAATTTTTTTAATTAAAGAATAGAATGTTCAAATAAAGTGTGAGTGTGAAAGGGAGAGAGAGAGAGAGAATATGGCTTGGTAATTAAAGGGTGGGGTGTAAAATAATAAATGTAAAATACACTCAAAAAAGTTTATTCGCTAATAGATTTTTAATATTATAATTAATGTTAATACTATTCGTTAATTAAAAATTAATATTAATAATGTTCATTAATTTGTCTTTTTTTATTTATATTATTTATAATTTCACTCTCGTATCGTTTAATATTACATCCAAAATATCAATGTCGTCTATCTTATTCATATCGTTATTTTCATTACTATTAGCAATCGGAAATTCCCCTCCATTCTCTGATACTGCCTTTGAAGGCCTTTTTCAACTTCTTGCAACCACTTTGATCTTTCTTCCTCCTTAATTTCATTCCATCCTTGCATATGTCACTGCTTTATCTCCTGCTTGCCAAATGTGACCTAACCATCTAACTCTGCGTTTGTTCTGCTTCTATATTTATTTTGCTCTGTTCTGGTTGGTCCCAGTATGGTTCTCATAGTCTTTCTCTCCGCTATTTTTAAGTCTTCTTCATCTTTTTTGACCATCGTCATTGTTTCTCCTGCATATAATAATATTGGCCTAATTATGTTGTTATAAATGTTCATCTTAGTTTTCTTAGTGAGTGTTCTGCTTTTAAGTAATCTTCTGTTTGCAAAATAAAGATTATTTACATATTTTTTCTTTCATTTCGGACTTCCTTTCGTAACTCCTAGGTTATTAAAGTATTCTACTTCTTCAAACTCAGAACTTTCTATTTTGATTTTTTCTTTTATTGGCTTTTTTCCTAATCTTAATATTTTTATCTTTTCTTGATTTAATCTTAGTCCCATTACCTCTCCTTTCTCTTTTATTTCTTCTAGTATATCTTTAATTATTTTCCTGTTCTTTGCAATAATAGCAATATGCGATTATTTCACCACCTTTTGTTTTTAGATTTTCTTTATTTATATTTCGTAGTACATTTTCTAAGGCTAGATTAAATATCGTTTTTGATAAGGCATCTCCTTGTTTCATCCCTTTATTTATATTGAATTCCTCTTCCTCTCCTCTTTGTGTATTTATGCTAATTTTTGTACTTCTCATTGTCATTTGTATTTATTTGAGTTTGTATGGAATTTTTAATTGTTTAAGTGCTATCAATAATTATTTCTTTTTAATTGAGTTAAATGCCTATTTGAAGTCTATGAATAACATTTCCAATTCTAATTCATATTCGTTTGCTTTTTCCATTATTCGTTTTACTGTGTGTATTGTATTTATTCTAGATCTTCCTTCTGTGAATCCACATTGGTACTGTCCCACTGTCTTCTTTCTGATCTTTGATAACCTCCTTTTTATTATTGATGTCAATATTTTATATATTGTATTAAGTAACGTATTCATTCATTATAATTTTCACAAATTTGTTGGTCTCCGTTTTTATGTATTGTTCTGATCTGCCCTAACTCCAGTCCCCTGGCATTTTCTCTTCTTTCCATATGTTTTTCAATAGTGCCAGTATTTTTCCTCTCAACTCCCTTTCTCCGTATTTTATTCGTTCCATAATAATTCCATCTTTACCAGGCGCTTTTCCATTTTTACTTCTTTGTATTACTTCCTCCGATTCTACTAATGTTGGTTCTTCTGAAATTGCTATGTCTAGTTCATCTACTTCGTGTGCTTCTTCTTCGTGAACAGTTTCCTCTTCGTTATTCATTTCTTCTCCTGTTGTTTCCTCCGTAAGAGCTCCCTGTGGTAATCCATTTATACTAGCTTCTATTATTGATCCTCTATTATCACTGGTACTTCTTTTTTTTTCAATATAAGGTTGAATGTTTGAATAAATGAACTTTGATGGTACACAAGGCAAATATCGAACACAGTATTTAATCAAATCTTGCCCAAGTACTTTCGATCACAAGATCATCTTCAGGGGCATTTCGTCAGTTGTGGCCTATCCAGCAGTAACAGAATGTCATAAATGTAAATTGGAACATAACAAATACACTAAACAAAGACAAACAAACTGACAGCCATTCTGTCTCCGGCTTCTATATATAATGCTTCTCCAATTTTAAATTTTAAAGTGTTTGTTTGTCTTTGTTTAGTGTATTTGTTATGTCCCAATTTACATTTATGACATTCTGTTACTGCTGGATAGGCCACAACTGACGAAATGCCCCTGAAGATGATCTTGTGATCGAAAGTACTTGGGCAAGATTTGATTAAATACTGTGTTCGATATTTGCCTTGTGTACCATCAAAGTTCTTTGTTTTTTATTCAATTTGTGTTGCCTTTGTATTTTTTGTTTTGTTCTTTAATACTTTTGTAAAAATTTTTCATATTTCTGTTTATTCTTTTCTGCTTTATTTCCTGCATTTTTACGTCTCCCTATCTTTTTTATTTTGCCTTCTTCTCACTCACACCTTCAATCACTTTTTTAGCATTCTTTCTTAATTATGCATGTTGTTCTCTGCCTTTCTCTTTATCTTTTCTTGGCCATTAAATTCTGGCTTGCACTTTTGTTTTTTGTTATTTCTCTACATTCTTGGTTATATTATTCATTTTTTGTTTTATGCTAACTTTTACCTACCTGCATATTTGCACCTTCTTCTATTGGTTATTTGATCGTCTCCCATTCTGTGTTTATATCTTCTGCTTTATATGTATTTCTCTTTTATTTGAACTGTTACTGCCTCTTCATATTTTTTTCTTACTTCTTCATTACTCCTTTTTACCTACCAAAATGCAACGGATCAAGATTATTACAAGAGCGTAATAGAACAAAACTTATATTTGATAATAAACTCTCAAACAAAGCTTATCCTCACCACTTTTTGTTGGCGGCAGATATAATCCACCAAAAAGAGGATCAGCTTAGAATTAGATCTTTATCTTAAAAAAAGTTTTGACCCTGCAAAATTTATAGAAATTTACGAATTTTTATAAACAAATAAACGTTTTTCTAAAAGAAATTGACTTATAGGGTCTTACGAAGTCTTATTCGATTTATAATTAAAAAGCTAAAATATAAAGTCTTTTGCATCAAGAAATAATTTCACAAAAGGTATATCAAAAATTAAAAATGGCGAAAAAGTCACATTTTGGGCATTCAATCATTAATTTTTTATAAAAAAATGCATTCTACTAAAAATATTGATTTGATACAAATAAAAATTAAGTAAAAATAAAAATATTAATAATAAAAAAAAAACACTAACAGTTTAAAATTGCAAACACTTGGAGGTTACTCCAGGCATTGCCCTCAATAAGGCTTTATTATTTTCAGAATTTCAATAATTATTGCACATTTTTTTACAACTTTGACTATTAACCAATAAACGCACTAAGAGAAGAAAAAAATCTTAATGTACAAACAATTTTCATATATTTAAATATGTAACATTTTTTCTAGAACCAATTTTATATAATTTTAATAACTTCGTCCTTATTATATACCACTTTACCTATGTTCGCTTTAAATTTTAAATAAGAAAAAAATAATTATAACCTGTCAGAAAAATTTAATTAAAGATAACCTTCGGCCTCCATTAAAAACAATTTTTAATACTTAAAAATAAAAATAACTCCAATCTGAACTATAATTATCCAATAAAAAAGCACATCCGTTCATCTCATATGTGATGGAATAAATCAAATCGCTGCGGCGCTGCCTAAGTATGTAGTAGAGGTGCTGGAACCGTTCCCGTGGATTGATAGTACGATTTCGTCGCTGTCGGTGTGAAGTACGTAGTTTTCCAAGTTTGCAATGGCTCCGAAATTATACGGTGATAATAGAAGTCCTTGTGTTAGAGCTGTTTTGTTAGCTGCTGAAGCGATGAAGATTAAACTGGAATATGTCGCTATTGACGTCGTGAAAAAAGAGCATTTGACGAATGAATATCTAAAGGTAAGTACCCTATTCGCAAAAAAAAGAGAATGATGGTACTGTATTCGATAAAAACATACTATAAATAAATTAAGAAAAAGTTCAACATAACAAACACCATGAGTGTGAAGTACTTCAAGAATAAGCTTATCTGCATAGCACGAATAAGCACTTTGCAACTCTTTTTTTTAGGCCGTTCAAAATTTTTATTTGGCATTTTTATTTTAATTCATTGAAATCATTGACATTTACTCAATAAATATATTAATAGGTAGGATAATATAAGGGAAAAGGCTTGAATCAACAAGAATCAATCAATCAATGGTTCATTTTAATTTCTCTTTCTAATGATTGGTTAAGTGCTTCATCTTTATTTGTAATAAGTATCTCTTCATTAAATAGATGTAAATGTATGTTTAGATTAGTAAGTAATGTTTGATTTGAGATACCTATACAAAAGACCTTCAGTTATTATTCCGAGCTATTTTGATTGGATTGTTGGAGGGATCTTTTTGTTGGGATGGTTTATTGTATTCACATAGTTCTATGCTATACATCCTGTATGATTTGTTGTACAATTCTGCAGCTATGTCGTTAATATAAGTAGGTACTCTTAGCTTACTGCAGTGTTGAGCTCTATGTCTAAATTAAGCTCAAGGGAATAAGTCCTAATCTTTCTGTTTCTCCTTCTATTCTTGGGAGAATTACCCTTATTGTTGCATTTTTGATCGCTGGAAGTAAACTAATCGGTCTATAGTTTTTAGGAAAAATATTGGTTTTCCTGTTTTATGTATTATTATAATATGGGCTTCCTTTCATTGATTTGGATAGAGCCTGAGTATATGCATGGCTCTCTTTTGGAGGCGTAAGTTAATACTCAACCTTAATATCTTCAAGCTGGTGATAGTTTAGTGTACATCTCTTGAGAGTTTTTTCTCATCACTTCAGCTTTATATTCTGTAGTGTAGTCTGTAAGATTCTCTCTTTGAAGTAGAGGAATTGGTTACATTTCGGTTCCCATTATTCTTTAAAGTTTTTATATTTATGACCTGCATGTTTGGGTCTTTTTCTTCAATTTTTTTATTATTTGTATTTGTTAGCCATTGTATTTTTTGGCAAATTTCTCCAAATATGTACATCCCTTCTTGCTTTGTTATTCTATTGTGCTGTTGGTAATGCTTTTTTTACTATAGTCTAGGACTTTTTCTTCCAGTTCTTTATGATTGTTGCTGTTTGAGAGAGAGACTGCAATGACTTTGAATTTAGGCAGTCTTTTTATATTTTTTCTGTATTGAACGGTGATATTCCTCCATCTGCCTATTTATAGGGAGTATCGAATTACGGTCAGCTGCTTCTACTATCATCAATTATATTTGAGTGTAAGGTCCTTTATTTTTTATTACAACTATGAGTAGTGGTGTATGGGTAGTGTGTTTTCTTCTTCCTTGCTTTTGTCGGTCTCTCGTTCCAGAAAAGAGAACAAGAGAAGCACTTTATCTTTACCTAACTTTTTGTAATTTAATATTGCGATAAACTATTACAATAACAATTCAGTTAATGACTTTTCCCGTTTTATGATTTTATTTTAGATATCACTAAAGTAAATTAAACATTTTCTACGAGATTTTAAATACAATAATAGGCAAAAAATATTTGAACTATTTTTCAATTTAGCTATTTTAGTACTTTCGTATAATATATCTATGTACATTTAACATTTTAAAAGTAAGGTTATCGTTTGTATTATGGTATAAAGATAAAAATATATACCTAGATTAAACAAGGTCAAAGTATTACTGCATCGAAGTTCTAATTATAAAATTTATCCTCGACAATAAAAATATCATTTTTATATAAAAATTTACCATTTGCTTTTGGATTATTATATATGGTGTCCCAACAAAAAATTATAATCGTAAAAATAAACTGGTCGATTTTCATATCGATAAGACAATTTTTTATGCAAGAAAAATTTTTTCAACCTTAACACCTTCGTGACAATGTGATCCACCGGTGGGTCACATCGTTTCTTACCAAGACATAATTTATTAACATAATATTTATTTATAAACATAATTTATTTTTAAATTAAAGTAGTAGTAGGTATAATGTTTAGGCAATAAAACACATTTTAATATTACATCTTACCGTGGCTGTGGTCAGGAATGTCAAAAAGTAACAAATTGTTTCTACTAACATTATTGATAGAGATTACTTAGCCTATTCGTGGATTTTTTCAAAACATGGAATACATAATACCGGCTGTAGGAAAGTGACCGATGTCACTTTCCTACCTTTCTCATCTTTAAGCGATTTCTAGCAATTAGATCATCGTTTTCTGCTTTTTCTTGCATTTCCTTCATATTTCCCTAGCCTATGGCTACTTCTACTTCGTTTTCTCGGACCCCTTTTACATAGAACATCATGCACTACTCTGATTTCTTCAGTGACATTTTTTTCTGCATCGGATAGCAATCCTTAAATAAGTTTTTCTCTAAATCGTAACATGTCAAGTTTGTTTTTAGCTTGGTTGTAAGAGCTATGTATTAACCATGCATTTACAACACATGTTCTGAGAACGATCTCAAAAATAACCTGCTTATACCACTTCAGAGTTTTTCGGAGGCATGTGTAATAAAAAAACATCTGGTTTGAAATGTCAACTTCTTTTTTGGCCTGATTGTAATCAATAATAGCGGGGGTTTTAGTACTTCTTCACCTTGTCGCTTTTTACGTCCACTCGGAATCTGATGATCTGTGTGATATGGTACAGTAATTATCATTAGTAGTTGCTGTTTATCTACCCATTTCAAGACACGAACCCATTTTCGTTTTACTCGCCGTAAATATGTCCCTTTTTCAGTTTTTTAGCGCATACATCTTTAGGATTCTCCTTTTTATTAATCTGGTAAATGACACAGACATAATGTTTCTGCAGTTAAAAGGCCCTTGTATAATTTGACACTTGTATAGAAGTTATCTATAAACAAAATTCTTCCCGAATGTTTAAGATCCTGCATTAACTCCATGCATATATTATATGTATGCCCCTGCGTGTTCGTTGCTATAGTGGCATCATTTTTTCCTGCATAAATACGCAAATCGTACGTATAACCTTCAATCGTACATATTTTATAGAGATTCACTCCGTATTTGTGTGTTTTTGCTGTTAAGTATTGACGGAACACCAACCTGCCTTTCCAAGGTACTATGCTCTCATCAATCACGACTTTCTGATCGGGAACAAATGTCTCCTTAAACTGTTGAAAAATAAGATTAACATCTTTTATTTTCAAGAGTCTGTCTTTGCCAGCTAGTGGATCGTTATTATTACTAAAATGGAAGCATTTCAATAACTGGTCGAATCTATTGCGATTCATAATATTTTTTAGTCGCTTATTAGCGTATATTTCATCATTTAACCAATAAAGGCGCATTTTTGGTAGCAATAAAAAAGTATCCTGATATATGGGTCCGAAAGCTGAACAATAAACAAGAGAAATAGAGGTAAAATAAGAGCAGTAGAAATGGAGTTGCTGAGGAGAAGCTGTAGACTTACAAAAAGAGACAGAATTGAAAACGCAGAGATTAAGCGGAGAATGGGAGGGTAATCAGACATAATCGACTATATAGAGGAGAGGAGACTATCCTGGTATGGCCACGTCAGAAGAGCGGACAGAGGACGCTGCATAAATAAAATTACAGAATAGAGCCCGATCGGAAGAAGAAAAAGAGAAAGACCCCGAAGGTCATTCAGAGACGAAATCGACGAGACTATGGAGAAAAGAACCCTGCGAGATGTAGACTGGAATAACAGGGAAAATTGGAGAAAACGGTTGAGTGCAGGAAGACAGTGAAAACTGTGGAAATCCTTAGTAGTAGTAGTTTTGGTAGCTGATTCATCCCCATTATTAGCAAAATAGCTAGAAATTTTTTCATTTCTGCTCTGTTAGTAGCTGTCTAAGTTTTCAACAGAAACCGCAGTCGCAGTGGCTTCGATTGAATGATCTGATATGCGTATCTGTTAATTTTCTCTACTATGATGTCAATCATTGGATTAGTAATAAACTGTTTGTAAATAGCGTAAAGTTGAGATAAACCTAAATTGTTAATTTTCAAACCGGTTTCTCCGAAGAACTAAAAATTTAGAGCTTAGTCTGTAAATGGTCCCCATTTGACAGGATTTACTGTTTCTTGTACGCCTGCATCGCTTGCCAAACTGATGTCACTAGAGTAATCGTTAGAACTGTTATTATCAGAAAGAGCATTTTTCATCACATTTTGATCATCTGAACGCCTATAGGACTCCTCAGAATCCTCAAACGAGTCGGATTCTAAGGATGATAGATATTGAAATCTTCCTTGTAGTTTAGAAGTAGAGTGACGTTGATTCTACGAAGATGCTGCTGGCGGATTTAGATCTTCTGGTGATACTGCAATTGGACTTAAATTGTCTGTGGATGTTGCAGGTGGGCTAAGATTTCTCAGGATGTTGGACACAGACTTAAATTTTCCAGAGATACAGCAGTCAGACTGTGATCCTCTGGGGATGCTGCAGGCGAACTTAGGTCTTCTAGGGATGTTGCTTCTTGAACAGTCTGTCGATGTGCTTTCTTCTGGCCAAGAGCCATTATTCTACGTGATCTGGAATTCATTCTCATAGGTTTGCTACTTGGATCTGCTATTTAACAATTATCTGAAATAAAATAATCTTATGCATTTACTGCATGCGTACCTATAATTCCGTGACACACCTGTGGGTCACAGCAACCGTGAAGAAAAATTTTAGCCCAGGGACATTGTGAATCACCGGTGAGTCATACATAAAAACACCCAAAACTTAAAAAACACAATATATTAATACAGGAATAACATTTATTTACAATAAAATAAACAAATATAGCGAAAAAAATTTTTAAAAATGTTAAACTTTTATGGATGGATACATAAAACTACCCTCGTCTCGAACGTGTTAAAGTATATAGACCAAATGAAAAACTCGGGTTCGTTTGGAAAGATATTCCCATAAGATTTTTTTGCATAATCACTTTCATGAGATACTTCAAAATAAGGTTCAAGAGGTCGCCCAAGCCAAAAGTTATTTTGTGCAAATTTTTTAAAACAATTTTTTTTTAACAAACTGTAACATTCAATTTTTTCGACTGGACATATTTTTTTATCTTTCCAACAAAATAGGTCTCTTGAAGTTTTTCTGTAAACTTTATCGTTTTCGAGTTATAAGGAATTTAAAACTGAAAAAACGAGGATCAAAAACAAAAGTAAAAAACATTTTTTTAATTCACCAAGGACCTAAATTCAAGTTCAAACTTTGTTGTTGTTATCAATTTCCCATAAGTATATTGAGCCTGTTATATTTTAAAACCTTGCTTTTTTATTGTTAATCAAGTACTTATGACAGGACGGGCGCTCGGGCTGCGGCTTGTATAAGAGAGAGAGAAAAAACCTATTGAACAAATTTTTGCTAGTTTAGCAAGATGATATTGCTTTATTAGAGAGACATAGATATTGCTCGATAGACATAATCATCTGGTAACACCAATGGTATATACAAAATATGCATATATATATTGTAGGTACAGTAAAATAAAAAGTAAAGTCTCAATTTTAGTTTTTAAATTATGGAAGTGATAAATAAAATCTTGTATATACCACTGGTGTTACCGGTTGATTACGCTCAGCAAGCAAAATCCATCCATCAGTCCAGAGGCCCTGTATAAAAATAATGTTTATTACTTATGTTTTAAGCATTGAAAATCGTAGCTTTACGTTTTTTTCAAATTTATAGTATTTATAACTCGAAAAAGATTAAGTTTACAAAAAACTGCAACACTACAATGCAACTACTTATTTAATCAGAATTATCCAAAAAATTTTAAAAAAATGTCCAGGCCAAAAAAATTAATTTTTACAATTTGTTTAATTTTTTTTTAATTCGAATAACTTTTCGCCTGCGCGACCTTTTGAATCGTACTTTGGGGTATTTCGTGACAGTGATTTTGCAAAAAAATCTCATAAAATGTTTTTCAGAACGAACCCTATTTTTTCGTCTTATTTCATCCATACACAATGCCAAAAGTTCAAGACTTGTACGAAGAAAATTCTGATCAACGCCTACAGTTCTGCAAACTCTTTACCCAACAACTGACCAATACTCGACACTCTGCTACTAGACACTGACGAGTAGGCAGATTGAGAGCTTAGTGCCGTTTGACGGTTCTTGTATTTCAAAATTAATGAGAAAAACCCCGTAATTGGCTGTATACCATCGTTTAAAAAAACACAGAAGTTCACTTCACAAATGTGTATTTAGGTATAAAACAAACAAGTTAAAACTTTTTAAAAAAGTGTCGTCACATTTAAAGTTCTGACAGAACGTTTTCGATCACTACGGATCATCTTCAGTGCCTAGTATTTGTTGCTAACTATATATATATATATGGTGTCTATAATCATATATATAGTTAGCAACAAATACTAGGCACTGAAGATGATCCGTAGTGATCGAAAACGTTCTGCCAGAACTTTAAATGTGACGACACTTTTTTAAAAAGTTTTAACTTGTTTGTTTTATACCTAAATACACATTTGTGAAGTGTTTTAACTTCTGTGTTTTTTTGTTCTTGTATTTCTACAGAACATGATACTGATACGTCACGATTGAGACCCTGAACTAGAATGAAACGGTATACCTCTTAATATACGTTGAGTTTCAAATTTTAAAAGCCGAACTAACAATTTCCAAGATAAGGTAAGTTCCCCGCTCCTTTTTCTAACTTGGCTGCGCCATACTGAAGACGACCAATAGTCAGAAATACGTATATAGTGTTGTCTTCCATCGATATAAATTTTTTGGTTATCAGTTTTGCAAGACATGCCATTATATTTTACTTTTATTATTCACTCGAATTATCCTCTTCAATTTGTTTCAAACGTTTTAACGTTTGGCATTCCTTTCCCCAGATAGCTGCAGCTTCCTCCGTGGTTATTGTTAGTTGTTGCCCTGAAAATCATCAGGGTCTTCTAACTCTAATGCCATAAATTGGTCGCATTGCTCCTGTAGTAATCCTCTCCCAAGTTAACATGCTTCTTTTTCTAACTTGGCTGCACCGTACTAAAGACCACCAGTAGTCAGAAATACGTATATACGTACTATACGTATATATTAGAGTGCAGGAGCACCATCTTCTTAAAACGTTATTTCCAAATTGCCGAATCCATCTAGATTATCCTCCAGAATTTCAAGTATTAACGGTTTAATTGCATTTTGTAACATCTCCTGATACACTTCACCGGTTAAGTTAGTATTGAGAAAAACAGAACCAACTATGTAGTTTCCCAAAATACCTGCTTATTTTGTTTAGAAATTGAGTGTGTGTTTCATTAAAGAAGTAAGGATTTGTGTCACTTTAGATTGTGTGTGTGTGTGTGTTAACATTTTCATTAAAAGAAAAAGTACTTTCGTCATTAAAACAAATTATTTTCGGAGAATTCTAGTCTTCGGACGGGGTCATCATCTGAAAGTTGTTGCACAATTTTTGTGCAACAACTTTCACAACACAACACAACAATTCGTATGGATGAAATTTGTTTTTAACAAACACTCAGTCTACCGCCTTTTGGGGTGTAGAAGAAGTAGGGTTCACTACCATTTCTTAAATTATCTCATTTTTTTGTCATCACTAATTGTTGGTCCTCAAGTGATTCCTTGAGAATAGTACAACTCCGAGGTCATTTTACTATTCAAGAAAGGAAACAGAGCAAACATCGAGAATTACCGACCAATATCCTTGCTATCACATCTGTATAAATTACTAACTAAAGTCATATCCAACCGCCTAACACATAAGCTCGATTTCTATCAACCTATCGAGCAGGCTGGATTCAGAAAACATTTTAATACCATAGACCACTTGCACACCGTAAGAACACTGATAGAAAAATGCACCGAGTATAATGTTCCAATTCATAAGGCGTTCGTCGATTTCCATAAAGCATTCGATTCCATCGAATTATGGGCAGTGCTTGAATCTCTAGAAAATGCACGCATAGATTCAAGATACATTAACATAATTAAAAACATACATGAAAATGCCACCATGCATATAAAGCTGGACGAAAGCACAAAAACTAATCCCATAAGACTACAACGGGGAGTAAGACAAGGAGACACCATCTCTCCCAAACTATTTACCCTTGCTCTAAAAAATATTCTTAAGAAACTGAAATGGAACAATAAGGGTATCAACGTCGACGGATCATATTTAAACCACTTGATATTTGCAGATGACATAGTTTTAATAGCCGATAATATCCAAGAACTAAATGATATGTTACAACAATTAAATACAGTTTCAGGAGCGGTAGGCTTAAAAATGAATTACAGCAAAACAAAAATACTGAGCCGAGACCAGACAAATATAACAATACAAAATCATACCATAGAAAATGTGGAACATTATGTATATCTAGGTCATGTTATCAAACTAGGAAAACCAAATCAAGATGCTGAAATTAAAAGAAGAACACAACTGGCTTGGGGCGCTTTCGGCAAACTAGCACATTTCTTGAAAAACACCTCAATTCCTATAAACTTAAAGAAAAAGGTGTATAACACATGCATACTACCTGTTTGTACCTACGGCTTGGAGACAGTAGCACTTACCAAAAGATCTGCCAAAAAATTAGAAACAACGCAAAGAGCAATGGAACGGATCATGCTTGGAATATTACTAGGAGACAAGCTTAGGAATATTGTGGAAGAAATTACAAAAATGAAATCGATCTGGGCAGGTCACGTAGCCCGATATAATGACAACAGGTGGACATGGAGAATTCTAGAATGGAGACCAAGGACGACAACAAGAAGCATGGGAAGACCTCAAAAAAGATGGGTTGATGACATAAGAGCAGGGGCAGGCAAACAGTGGATTAGATTGGCGCAAGATAGAGAAAGATGGAAGCAATTGGGAGAGACCTACATTCAGGAGTGGATGGAAAATGGTTGACAAAGAAGAAGAATTGTTGGTCGACCAGATCGTTTGACAGCTTGAACACTACCTGTTTGTTTATACTTCCGAAAAAGCTTTCTTAAAGGAGCTCTCGATGTGGAGCGATCAGGGTAATAAAACTTAAACAGATGATTTGATATTGTTATTTATTACATGACATTTATGACTTTTGAATTTTGACAGTTGTTAAAAATGGAATCTTTTATTGACAGATGTTTTTTTATTTTTTTTTCATTAAATGTCTGAATTTTGTTAGTTTTTTTCATGAAGTTTTTAATTTAAACCTGCTTACAATAAATACGTAATAACTAAAACGAATTGATTAGTAGTAGTGAGAGTAGCGAATCGATGAAAGAACCCCTAGTTCTTCACGCTACCCGTAAAGTTTTCTCGTCATTTTACTTGTTAAGAAAAAATACGGCAACGCCGGTAAATAAGCTTCGCTTCTAAAAGACAATTTTCTCGAACTAATATTATTTTGCTAATTTAAATGTAAATAAATGAATAGTACTATATTTGGTAACATAGTTGTTACATAGTATTTTATTTACTATTTTGTACGTATAAATATCTTTTGATCAATATTTTTGCAGCTAAATTCACGTCACACTGTTCCCACTTTAGACGATGATGGCTTCGTAGTGTGGGATAGCCACGCAATAATGATGTATTTGGCGGAGAAGTACGGAAATGACAATTCCCTATACCCCAACGATATTAAGAAACGGGCTCTTATCAATCAGAAGCTTTTATTTGATGCTGGAGATCTATTCTCAATTAGCAGATACATTGCAGTAAGTATAATATTTTAAGAAACAAAATATACTGTTTTTTCGTTTATTTTCTGTCTTCATCAAATTTTACTTCAACTTTTTCCTGTTTTAGTATGTACTGTATTACTAAAATTTCCAATATAACAGACTATGTGTGGCTATTGGCATATAGGCCATTGAGAAATTTTTTAATGTTTTACCATACTAAAACCTATTGACTTACTAAGAACAAATATCATAGGAAACGTATTTTTTAGTCATCGACACACAGATTTTCTTCTTCTTTTTATGTAGACATAACTGTCTGTTTTTCATTGTGTCTCCAGTAAGTTGTAGTTCGATCTTTTTCGCAGTTTTTCTACTGATCGTCGTGCTATTAAGGAACTGTTTCTTATCGTCTTTACTACTCTATTTGTTGTCGTTCGGCTTATATGATCGTTCCATTTTGCTCGTCTATTTTTTACCTACTCCTTGATAGATACCCATTTGGTATACATTATTAGTTCTTACTTTTTTTATTATTTCATTTATAATTAGGTTGAATAACTAACTAGTCAGGTCTAACTAGTATAGCTGATCTAAATCTCATATTCATTAACTCTCTCTGACATGTCAATACAAGTACGTGGCTGCATTAAGAATTCCTGAAAGAAGGTTTAAAACGCTATTAAACTTTTTCTTCTTAATTTTCTTTCTCTTAATAAGCAATTCTGCTTGTTCATTAGCGGATTAATACCTCTATGGAAGGTTGTCATTCCATCTTTTGCGCGGTCATCCGATACTTTTTTTGCTGATTGGTGACTTATCTCCTACTATTTGGACGACACGGGTCTCCTCCATTCTGCTTGTGTAATTATTCCATCCTTTTTTTCTACTTTGTGTCCATTCATTTATACTTATTTGTACGTTACATTTTCTTCTAATGTCTTCACTTCTCTTTCAATCTCTTAGCGTATTTCCTGTAATTCTTCTTAATACTCTCATCTCTGCCGTTTATAGTAGCCTTTGGGTTGTGGCTTTATTGAATATTATTTCTGAGGCATATGTAATTATTGGCCTTACACTGGCTTTATAAATTCTTGACTTCATCATAGTGTTAATGTGCTTGTTTTGCCATATAGTGTTAGTAAGTCATTATACCAGTCTATTTGCTTTTTGTACTTGATCTCCCACTTCTTTGTCCAGGTCTCCATAGCTAGACAATGCAAATCCCAGGCATTTTATTTCTATTACTTCTTCAATACTAATGCCATCAATTTCTATTTTACATCTGGTTGGTTCTTTGCTAACTACTATTGTTTTAGTTTTTTGAGATGAGATTGTTATATTAAATTCGTTTGCTCTTACGTTAAATCTGTGGATCAGTCTTTGCAGACTATCATTATCTTGGGCTATCAATATTACGTCGCGTGCGTAACAGAGCATTTTTATTTCTTTCTTTCCCATTCTATATCCTCTTCCTTTGTTAATGTTTTCATCAATGATCACATTGAAGAGCACAGGGCTCAATTAATTTCCTATTAAACTTAAATGTATTATTACATAAAGATAATACAAAAATTTTTAATTTGATTTTATGGTCTTTCTGAAAAAAATAAAGGTGAGAATAAAAATTTTGATCGTTTAAATGGATATTTCCTTTGTTACCCACCTATCGAACTATGGTTCAATATAAGATATCATCATCATCATCAAGTAGCGCTACAACCCTGGGTGGGTCTTGGCTGACTGTTTTTTTATAATTTGTTCGTTCTTCCATTAACTTAGGGTCAAATAGAATGTTTGTTTTTCGTAGATCTGCTGGATGTTATCTCTCCATCGCGTTCTCGGACGTTCAAGTGGTCTTTTGCCTGTGGGAATCTCCTCCCTGAACTTTTTTTCGTTTGCTTTGGTCATGGTCCACGTTTGGCATCTGTATGTTATTACAGGTCTGACGATGGATTTATAGATTTTGATCTTTGAACTTCTTGTAAGGTTTTTTGATTGTATAAGATTATCCAGTGCGCATAGACAGCGGTTTGCAGATTGAATTCTGTAATTTATTTCTTCAGTAACATCGTTTTTAGCTGTGATTACGGCTCCCAGATACTTAAAACTTTGTATTCTTTCGAAATTGAAGGTGTTGATCATCACATTTAGTCCTATTCTCTGTCCTCGTATCGTTCTATTGATACACATATATTTCGTCTTCTCTTCAATAATCTTTAGCTCTACTTCACTTGTTGCTCCTTCCACCTTATTGAAGATGTCTTTAGTGGCTAGGATGGAGTCTGCAACGAGATCTGTGTCATCTCTATATGCGAGTGACAGCTTGGGACCTTAAACCGATAGCAATTCTGTTTTTATTTCGGCCGGCCTCATGGCTTTCTCTAATACAAAGTAGTAGTGGAGATAGCGCATCACCCTGTTTGAGTCCACTGTTGATTTCAAAGCTGCAAGACAGTGTATTATTTACACGTACTTTAGATATTTTACCCTCCATACAGACTTTGGTCATCCGAATGAGTTTCGGATTTGGTATTGAGAACTCCGCCGTGGTATTCTATACTTGGCTTCTTTGTACGCTCTCACATGCTTGTCGAAAGTCTATGAAAAGATTGTGTATGGGTCTGTTATACTCCCATCCCTTATCTAGGTTATCTCAGCGTGAATAGTTGATCTATTGTTGATCTGTTTGCCCTAAAACCGGTTTGATATTCGCTTAGGACATTTTCAGCATAAGGGATTAGTCTACTAAGAATGATGTTTGAGAGGGTTTTATATACCGTGTTTAGGAGCGAAATTCCTCTATAATTCGCGCATTTTGTTTTGTCCCCTTTTTTGTGGATGGACACTATTATGTTTTCCTTTCATTGTGCTGGTATCCTTTCTTTTAACCATATGTGCGTTATTAATTTGTGGATTTGGCGATGTAGTGCGTCTCCCGTAGTTCTGCTGGTATCTCATCCGTACCCGGCGCTTTGTGATTTTTTAGCTTATTTGAGGCCTTTTGAGTTTCTTTAAAGGAGGGAATTTTAACGGGCATGTCCGCCGTAATATAGATCTCTTCTTTGAGCTGTTCTTTCTGTATGATATTTAGAAGTTCTCTAAAATACTATGTATTTCAATTCTTCAGTTACTTCTTTACCGTCGATTATTATACGGCATTAAATGTCTCTCAGTGTATGGATGGAATTGATTGTATGTCCTCTTTTCTCAGAGAAAATTGCTTTATTGAATTCTCTAGAGCCTGGTTTGGGCCGTTCTCTCTCCATAGCTTCATATTTTTGTTGTTCATAGTTTATTTTCTTTGTACCTATTATTTTTCTTGTTTCTTTTCAGCAGTCGTCATATTCCTTTTTACTTTGATCTGTTTGCAGTTGTATCCAAGTCTTTCTTACTGTTTGTCATTTTTCCAGCTGTTTTCAATATTCCTCGTCATGCCATGTTTTTGCCCACTTCTGCCTACTCCTTCCAAAGATCTTGTCCGCTGTCTTGGTTATTATTTCGGCGTTGGTTTTCCATAGCTGTCCTATATCATTGTATTCTCTTTCACAGTTCAAGGTTTGTTCAAGTTGTTCTGTATAGTTTTGTTGTTTCTCTGTGTACATATAAGACATAGTGTGTTATAATAAAGTCGCTCTCATGAACTTCTGAGTGTAAAAAGTGTTAAACGTGGCCAATCCTAAATGAATTAATACTAATCTTTGTATGTAATTACGTGACTAAACATTCTAAACCAAAGCTTAATAACAACAAAATAGGTTGAAAAACAAAGAACTTATGTAATGTCCCTGTGACATCCCATTGCCAGCTTCAATAGGGTCAGTTAGTTCTTTTTCTACTTTTACTTTTATTGTACTGTTTTGGTAGATATTTTTAATCGTTTTGGTTATTCCTAAAGGTAACTCTCTTGCATACAATAAGTGCATAACAACTTACTTTAATTTAAAGTCTTTTTAAATGTCTCGGTTAAATGTCTTTTTAAGATTCGCGAAACATAGATATGTCAATTTGTTGTATTTTAATGATTTCACTTCATGATAATTTCAACATTGATCTTGAGTATACAAATTTACGTTTTTTATGACGATAATTTTTGATACCTTATATTAATTATTAATATTTCGCCTATTCTTCTCGGATTTTATGAAACTATTGGCTAACTAGCGAAGCACACACAGTTGGACGGAGCAGTAACCGTAAGAGAGTTTATTATGCAGTTGAAAATATTCAAAAATTCACTTCTTTTAAGCATAAATCAATTTGCCTTCATAAAACTACATCTCAAATTTTTATTTGTTTGAGGCACCCTCACATTTAATGTCAAGTTTAAATCTGAAAAAGGTTTCTATCGTAAAAATGATTTAATTGTATATCCAGCACATGATTATCTAACCTATAATACTCTACAAAATATATAGGCCAGTACCTGATGTCAAATACTTGAAAAATTACGGCTGATTTGGCTTTATTTTTTTTTAACAATTATAAACTAAAAAAAAAATCATTTTCTGCCTATAAAACAAAAGTCCAAATAAAAGTTGTAGAATTTTAGAATGCCCTTCTTTTTGCAGTAATTTATAATTACGTTTGCCGCCTCAACTCCAATTCAATGGTCGGATTTCTATAGCCCTATCATAAATAAATTTTTTTAGTGTGTTTTTGGGTAGTCCAAGATTCTGTCATTTATGTGTTTCAGGAAAGTAGTTTAACCTTTATAAAGTAAAATTTTTTACCAAAATGGAATTTTTCTGAAGTAATGGTACTTTTTTAAACTTGGTCATAGCTCTCAGAATAACTGGATCAGCTGGAAAATAAATTTTACATACTTTAAAATACTTTATTTTTCCATTCTTTGTTTGTTTAATAATTTTTTGATGTAGATGGTATATCTATGTTCTAGGGTTTCTTTCTGTACAAACGCCAACCTAACTTTCCTCAAGACTTGGCTGAAGCTTTACACAAAGCCTATGGTTTTCTAGAGACATTTTTAACTGAATCAAAATATGTTGCCGGTGACGAGATGACCATAGCCGACTTCAGTCTGTGGACTTCTATAAGTAATTCCGGCAGTTTTGTAGCAATTGATGTAGCGAAATATCCCAAGATTACAGCTTGGTCGAAAAAAATGGGAGAACTGCCCTATAGTCACCTAAACTTCGAGGGACAAAAGGAGTTTAAAAAAATATTAGAAATATTAAAAGCTCAATAATAAATATGTATATTTTAACGATGTTTTTTTTTTTTAATAAATATTTTTATATTTCGTGTTCTTAAGTGTTAAAACTTTTGTTATTTAAGATTGGAGGGATATTTATCCATTTTCAAAAATGAGGCTGGTTCCCACCGGTTCAAACTTTAAATTAAAATGCAAGAAAAAACAGCTGTAGAACAAATTTAATCACTAGCATTCCAAAAACGCCCTTCAACAACTTTCCAACAATAATCCATCGCATCCCTTTGATACACAATCCCCATAAACCTTTACAGCAATAAAAATAAATAAAATTATTAATGCTGTTGAGAACTCGAGAAGACCAAAGAGTGTCGTGCCGTGCCGCGCGGGTACATTTGTCATTCGAGATGAATCCCATCACGATTGCCTTCCCAACGAAAGTTAAATTTGAATAGCTCGCCGAATGGAAGTGGCAAGTGGATGGAAAGTTGAGGCGATCGAAGATGGAGAGTTTAGGATGACACGGAAAGTGGAAGCGGAAAGACGCAAAGGCGTGGAAACTGAACGGTGAAGGGAGGTAAATGTTAGCTATACATGAAGTCTTTTACTGGCGTGTATTGTTGCTGATATTATACTGATGTGATATGATTTGCAGGTAAACATAAAATACCAAATGAATTGTTGAAATATCGTAGAGTGGCAATAATAAATGTGACACTGCTAAAAAGCAAGTGATAAAGTTTGGTCACCACTAACGGATGGAAGATTACATCGAGTTCTGATATCTATCGAATTATTACAAGAGCACCTTTTTTGCGTAGAAGATTATTCAGTTTTATAAAAAAGTGTACATAAAGAAGTACCCTTATTTTTGGACGTACTATTAGCTCTAGAAATTAATGTACATAATTCTGGACCACCTTGTAATTAAAATAAAAATATGCATAAGAAAATTTATAATAAATACACCGTACATGCAAACAGTGGTTTAATGTCATTAATAAGTTACAAATAAACACAAATTTTAAGAACACTGTACAAAAATTGCTAAACTAATATACCTATTTGTGATTAATCTATATACAATTATTTAGAAAAATACAAATTATTGAAATATAAACATTACAATATCCTATAAAATTTATATTGACGAAAGCAAAAGTAACTGTTGCAACTATACACTGTAAATTGCCTCAAAAACAAAACAATTGCTTTAATAGAAAATACATTTTAGAAATTGAGAATTTAGTTTTACAAAATCTTGTCTTGTCAAAATCAAATCTTGAGGCATTAGTCTGATGAATAGTACATTAAAATTGTTAACGGCCTCAAAAACAAAACAATTGGTTTAATAGAAAATACATTTTAGAAATTGAGAATTTAGTTTTACAAAATCTTGTCTTGTCAAAATCAAATCTTGAGGCATTAGTCTGATGAATAGTACATTAAAATTGTTAACGGCAGTCAACATACATAAAATCGAGGAAAAAGCGAACATGGCAGAGGAACAAGAAGGCTTCCGGAAGAACCGCAGCACAATAGACGCAATTTTTATTATCAGACAAATAGTAGAGAAGTCTATTGAATATGGAAAACCAGCATACATGTGTTTTTTATATTTAAAAGTGCTTTTGACAGCGTGAAGCGAAATGACATCTTAAATTTATTACAAGCTGAACAAATAGACCATCAGATAATAGGGTAGTATTAATTTGACTCTCGACCTGCAAACATCGCATCGATACAAATTAGGCGAAAGTTTACAGTGTGATTAAAAACGGGCTCCGGCCGCGTTTTTACCGTAATTATCGTGTATCAAGTGGATATACTATTTATAAACTATTTAAAAATTAAAATATACAGTTTTAACAATTAAAATGAGTGCTCCACCAGATTTATCGGTGAGTGTTCCTTTTTATACTGCTACTGTTAATGGTCAACCTATAAATACTCAATATCAGCAACAACAAATTCAACCAGAATGCCCAAATGTCCTTTTTGCACAAAATTCACAACCAAATTCAGCACAAATTTTAAACAATCCACCAACAACAATATATTATGTTCCTAACCAAGTACTATTACAATCTTCCTCAAACTGTCAATACAATCCTACAATAAATCCCACATTATCTACACCTCAAAATGAAGCTTATGATTCTATTGAGATGACACATACATTACAAAGTGAAGAATCTTCAGAGGAAATCAGCGACATTGAGTCATCGGACATCCACGAATGGCAAATTATACAACATAGTAACAAAAAAGGTAAAATTAATCCTTCGACACCAACAGAAAACGAAGACACGGTAGTAACCAGCAATAAATTTCAGATTCTACAAAATGGAAACGAAAACGACAACAATAACAGTACAGAAAATACCAACAAAACTCCAGCAACCAATAAACCCCCACCAATTTTTATATATGGTGTTACTGAATACAATAAAATGGTTAATAATCTATCGGAAGTAGCAAAAACAGAGACATTCTATTGTACAGCATTAAAAAATAACACAATAAAAATAAATTCTTGGGACTCTGAAACATACCGAAAACTAGTAAGACATTTAAACAGCAAAAAAATTGTGCATCATACGTACCAGATGAAAGAGGATAGAGCATACAGAGTTGTAATTCGTAATCTACATCATACAGTGCCCATTAATATAATAAAAAGTGAAATAGAAAAACATGGGCATTTAGTACGCAATATTGTAAATATAAAACACAGAGTAAGTAAGGACTCTCTAATGATGTTCTACGTCGATATAGAACCTAATCAAAATAATAAAAATATATATGAAATTCAATTTATAAACAACGCGAAAATAGTTATTGAGCCACCGTATAAAAAGAATAATATTGTCCAGTGTACCAGATGCCAATTGTATGGACACTCTCAGACATACTGTAATAGACCTTATCACTGTGTCAAATGTGGAGGCAGCCATATGTCAGCCGATTGTAAAAAACCTAGGGACACACCTGCCATATGCGCTCTCTGCAATGGAGCACACACTGCAAATTACAAAGGATGCCTAGTATATAAAGAGTTAATTAGCAGTAGAAACAGAGCAAGAGGAATATCATCGCACACTCCAGCGAACAATCAACTGCCATATAACAGAAATACAGTACAGAATAATCCAAACTTAAGCAATCAAAATCACGCGACTTACACAGAAGCAACAGGTGGAACGAATGTAAATATTGTCCATAATAATACGAACTCATACAACCAAAATCAAGCAACTTACGCTCAAGTAACAAGTGGAACACATGGAAGCAATACACACAATGACATTGAAGAGATGATGAAGAGTTTCCTTAACGAATTCAAATCTATGTTTTCACAACTAATAAATCAAAATAGCGTGATCTTAAACATGCTTTCCACAGTAATAAATAAACTCAGTCATGGAACTTAAGTTACTACGAACTGCACAATGGAATGCCAACGGCCTAGGCAACCATAACACAGAAGTTACTAACTTTCTTGAACATAACAAAATTGATGTTCTACTCAAATCGGAAACCCATTTCACTGACAGAACGATGTTCAAGATCCCTCATTACTCTATTTACAACACCAACCATCCTGATGGAACAGCACACGGTGTCGCTGCTATTATTATACGTAACACCATACCACGCTATGGGGAAACAATGTATCAGACAGAAAAAATACAAGCTGCAGTAATCTGTATCAGTTCTCAACCACAGTCTTTTAACATCGCGGCAATGTACAGCCCTCCAAGGCATAATATCTCCACAGCAGAATATGAAGACTTCTTTAAACAGCTATCAAACAAATTCTTGATTGGAGGTGACTGGAATGCCAAGCATATAGACTGGGGGTCGAGACTATGTACGACAAAGGGAAGAAATCTTAGGCAAGCCATAGCTAATACAAACAGCTCTTACTTATCTACAGGGCAACCCACCTACTGGCCATCAGATCCAAACAAAATCCCAGATCTACTCGACTTCTTTATCCTTCATAACATGGCCTTAAATTATTTTGACATACAACCATCCTGGGATCTGTCCACCGACCATACTTCCATAATTGTAACACTATCTACGCAAATTATAAAACGTCCGCATATCCCTAAGTTAACAACATTAAAGACTAACTGGAATGTATTCGAGTCTTACATAAATGAAAATTTAAATTTAAATATAAGATTAAAGCAACCAGACGATATCGATAACGCTGTGCTTATTCTCACCCAAACTATACATGCAGCCGCAGAAATAGCTACACCCCCCCAGAATGACAAAGAACCAAGTGACACCAATATACCCGTGTATATAAAACGTCTTGTAGCACAAAAAAGAAGAGCCAGGCGCATATGGCAAAGAAGTCGCAATCCTATAGACAAAATGAATACAATAGATTAACACGGCAACTTAAAACTGCTCTACAAGACGCGAGGAATGATACATTTGAACTATTCATCGACAGCCTGTCAAAAGAAGACCACAGCATCTGGAAAGCAACGAAATCATTCAAGAGGCCTACACAACACATACCACCTCTAAGGAAAGACGATGGAAGCTGGGGAAAAACTGAACAAGAAAAGGCATCAATCTTTGCTGCACATCCTTCACACGTTTTTGGTGCACCTGAACTTAATAACCATAATGACGAAGAACAAGTTAAAAACTTTTTAGACACTCCATGTCCAATGATGCTACCAATCAAATTCTTTACTCCTAATAATGTAAAAGAACAAATTTCTAGATGCAATAACTACAAAGCACCAGGCTTCGACATGATCACCGGGCTAATATTAAAAAAATTACCGAGAAAAGCAATTGTCCTACTAACAATGATATATAATAGTATCATAAGATTAGCCTACTACCCGATTAATTGGAAGTTTGCACAAATAATTATGATAAGTAAACCAAATAAACCACCAAATAATATTACTTCAGTCGGTCAGATAGCTCAGCGGGCTGTGCGGCTGCCTCTCATTCGCTTCACTGTCGAATGGTTTAGTGGATGTGGGTCGAGCCCCAGCTCGGTGTACAGAAAACAAAAAATCTAATGCAGCAGTTTAAAATTCTAGATGAATCTGCGG